CCCCCCCCCCCCCCCCCCCTTTTCGGGCTATTACCGATTTGTCAATGCGTTATGATGGGAGTAGCCCAGCGTCTACTTGGCATTATAGGCACCACCACCTCTCACCAGCAAAATGTAGTTTGAAGGAAGCCTTTTATGTGACTCAAATTAAAAACAATGTCCGGCTGAAAGCCAAAACCATATTCTGGGATCTTCCCTGACGGACTCTAATATCGTTTTACAGCCTTAAATATATGTGCTCAGTCACAGATAGTGATCTGAAAATCTGCAGGCTAACAGGGTCTGTTTCAGTTCTGCATCCTTTCAGCATCTCCCGAGCCTCAGTGCAGTGAGGAGAAGCAGGAACTCTTTTTAAGTGTGAAAACAGTCTTTTATGGAAAGGAATTCAAGAGTTTGTGTGTTTGGACATTCCAGTTCCTGCCTCAGAAGATCCTGGCTGTAGACGAGATGTAGAGGGAAATCAGTGCCTTGGCATGTTGGGGATGTCCAAGCTTGGTAACCTGAGATCCCCCCAAAGTTCAGCTTAATGCATTGTGGTTGCTTGTTCAGTCAGATTCGATTTGATCACGAAAAGTGGAATTTGTTTTACCAGCAGTAATGAGCCAGAGGAACGTAGTAGAAATGGACTGATTGTTTTCACGAGAGTTTTTCCTAAAGCCCGTGTAATTCAGGTTCACATTAATGGCAGATTCAGATAAACATGCAAAACATATTTGCCTGTTTGACACAGAATAGGTGTTTCTTGGCTCAGGCCGAATGAAGGTTGACAAAGTGCATTAGCACAGCAGGTGAGATGTGAATCAAGTTTCGCCTGCTTCTCCTGTAAGGACAAGCCTCTGTCAGACCAGATTGGACTGAGTCTAATCACTGACAGAAATGACCTTAATCAGGGCACGACAGGTTGGGGTTTTGTGTGTGTGCTCACTCTTAACGTCTTTAAATTTCAGTTGTAGTGTGTGTGTGTGTGTGTGTGTGTATGTGTGTGTGTGTGTGTGTGTGTGTAAGCCATATCTAGCCATTTCTTGCTCATATAACCACCAGGAAACCTGAGCCGCCTCCCTGCACCACTTTGGGTGACCTTAAGTAAATCTCCCATCGTTGATTCTGGTTAGGTCCTGGAACCACAGACCTGTCATCCACTCCACTGGAATTTAGACACATCATCTTCGTTGGCCCTTCCTGATGACAAGCGATTGCATTAGAGTTGTGTCTGGAATCACGATCAGTCTCTGATATTGCTCATTATTCAAGAATTTATGTGCATTCTAGCTTGTTGGTGAAGTAGATTACTGCAGTACACCTCAGTGCCTCAGACACAGGTGTTTAAGGTCTCAGGACATATCTGTTGCTCCCGTCTGAGGCTCCTTTTGTTCCACAGGTGTCTAATGGGAGATGGCTGAGCTGTGCTTTAGTACGTGATTAAGTCTCAACTGTGAGAGGGACCTAATCTAATTCGCCTACGTCAGAAGAACCAAACGGCCCACTGACCTGCATATCAAGTGCACACACACTTGATATGCAGCTTCTTGACATACTCAAGTGATAGAAAAGATCATAGAAATGAGACAAAAATATTTAATTTATTCCCCATATCTGGGAATTTATTTTTTAGAGCAAGTGGAAAAATGGTAATAATAATAATAGTATTGTATACTTTAATATAATGTAAATGATTATAGTAAAGTGTAAGTTCAGCCACATTTCCATGAAGTTTATAGTATTATTAAATCAAATCAAATTCAAATTCAAATTCAAATTTTATTTGTCACGTACACAGTCATACACAGTACGATATGTAGTGAAATGCTTGGACAACTGCTCGTGACCTAAAG